ATTTTTGGAGCTACTGATGCTGTTTGGGAAACCCAGTCTTCACTATAATTTCTGAAGATATCCTTGGTGCTACTAGGTACCTAAAGAAACTTTTATTCCAACCATTACTAGGTCCTATTTTATCTCCATTTTACAGATGAGGAAACTGAGGCACAGAATGGTTAAGTGACTTGCCCAGGGTCACACAGCTAGTAAGTCTATGAGGCCAGATTTGAACCCAAGTCTTTCTTCTTGACTCCAAACACAGCACTCTGTTTACTATGCCACCTAGCTGCCTAGTATAGGTATATCCTATTTTTCACTCTTTCTGGAAATGGGATGGTTTTGTTGTGCTTTGAGTGCCCCAAACCCAGAGAAACATCTTCTGATTTGCTTGTCATGGGACAATATACACATTGCCTACAGATTCATTGTGTCCCATAACTTCCCTGGCTGTATTCTCTGATTTGTGGTCCCCAAGCAACGGGATTCACTAACTTCTGTCTGTTGCTTTGATAGGTGAGCACTAGGAACTTCAGCATTTAACCCCAAGTTGATTAAGAGAAAAATAGAGCCTGACATCTTAAGGCCCAAAGATAGATCAGAAGCTCCGAAGAGAGGCCCACGTGGTCAGGTAGCAGAAGGTGAAACCTTCCCCGTGGGATTCATTCCTGCCTTTGCTCCTGAAGCTTTGTGAGCCCCAGGGAAATTCTCCTCGGACAGTTTGGCAGCCCAGCAGGGTCAATGCACGAAGCAAGAAAACTGTGAGTCCAGGAAGGAGGAGCATTCTTTGCCGGGAGGGTAGGAAAATAGAAAACTCTAGCAAGGTGTGTTTATGTTTGAAGCCACTCAGAAAATGTCAGCTACAGATGAAGAGTGGGTCGTCCCCTTCTGTAAGAACTGAGTGAAATTGCAGTTTTATGTCACTTCTGGGCCTAGGTGGCTTCCTTTCAGTGATTTGGCATTCAGGAGACACTCATTAAATCCGATTGTGTGAAAGTCCTTGGGCTGGATGCTGGGGGAAGGGCAAAGGAAGTAACCCCTCATAAAGTTTTTAGTCCAGTGATAATAATGTATGTTATTCAAACTTTCTTCAGTGGGGTCCCTTCCTTTGATTCTTTATCATATTCCCTTATATGACTATTTGATCTACAAGTGATCATCATGTTGAATTCTTTGAAGACGATTCTGCTCCATGAATCATGGCCATAAAACGAGACCAATAGTATCATGGTATTTAAATGATGAGTTTTGGTTTCCAAGGAAAGTTTGACATTGTTAAGGGGTCATTCTATTTCCCAATAGGCAAGCCAATCAACTCGAGTCAAGTCAACAACCAAGTATTTATTTAGTGCTTACTGTCAAGCACTGTGCTAAGTGGTGGGGATACACTCAAAAGGCAAGACGTCACCCATGATGTCATTGGTCCTCTTCAAAAACAAAGGACAAACAACACCAGCAACGAAGAGAGGCAAAAACAATCCCTGCCCTCGAGGAGCTCGTTCTTTCCTTCTTATTTCTAGACCCAATTTGCAGTCTTTGTTAGTATCTGTGAAATGAACTAGAGCAGGAAATGGCAGACCATTCTAACGTCTTAGCCTGATCTTTACACTTGGCAAAAGCCAACTGTTGTGCATTGCGCAACAGTCAATGTGGCAAAAATCACTAAATGCCTACTATATGCCAGGCACAGTGCTACGTGATCGAGACCAAAGTCAAAAATGTTAAGCCCTGCCCTCACAGAGCTTGCATTCTATGAAAGGTATCTATCCTAATGAATGAGTTCTATGAGGTTGTCCATTTAACTGCTTGCCATGGATTGGACAAGAGGCTCATTGATGTTGTTCATTCCCCCTCACCCAATTTTTTTCCTTCTTGTGGATGTTTAAGTCACTTTGTTGTTGAATGGCGTCCGACTTTTCCTGACCCCATTTGGGGTATTCTTGGCAAAGTTACTGGAGTGGTTTGCCATTTCCTTTTCCAGCTCGTTTTACAGATTTTAGAGACTGAAGCAAACAGGTGGCTTACCCAGGGTCACATAGCTAGTAAGCGTCTGAGGCCAGATTTGAACTTACAAAGATGAGTCTTCTGACTTGAGGCCCAGCACTTTTATCTACTACACTACCTAGCTGCCAATTCAAGAGAATATACATACATAAACACATACACACAAAGCGTTTTGCCTGCCCTCTGGCCTTCTTCTACTGTAACAGACTCTTTCCCTTAAAAACTTGGGCTTTGATAAGTGAGTTTTCTACTTATCTTGTCTAGAAATATGCCACCATATTAATTCTCTGCCATGCTCCTGTCCCCTTCCTTCTCCTGTGAGTCATCTTATTAGAGTATAAACTCCTTGTGGGCAGGTTGTCTTGCTTAGTTCTATTTGCATATTAATGTTTAGTACAGTATCTGACCCATAGTAAATGTTTAATATATGATTTTTCATTCATTCATTCATATACACACATATGTATATACACATAAATATTTAAAGTATAAAAACACACATACATTCCATACTTTCATAAAAATCCAGAATATTGCAGTACCTCTAGATGAGATCAATAACTATTGAAAAAAGAGTTGGCTTAACTATCCACACAATAAGAACAAGTGGATGAAAAACGCCTTTTTTATGAGTGTTATGGAGCAGCCTGCAGTATCTGAAAATGCTCCATGATTTTTCAAATGCAGTTTAGCCTAGTTTCTTAGTACTCAATTCTGGGCTGAGTTGCTTGTTCATCTGCATTTCCTGCCCAAGACATATGTATGGAGGCACCGACTCAGTGGGCTGCTTGGCCAACTATATGTAATCATCTGGGCAGTAGGCATTTGTCATCTGTTTGTTTTAAACTATATGGATGGTTAAACAGATGGCTTTCGAGTAATTATGAATCTCATCAAGGAGGGCTTGATTCAACCAGTCCAATGTCATTTACAAACAGAAATATCTGGAAGACTGCAACACCTATAGGGAATCTTACTGCCATGTGGATTCTGCTTAGGACAAAATACTCCATGTGCCTTTGGTGAGCATATGTCTCTTTCCTTTGTACTCATTTGACTGTAATAATTAAGTTAAATTCAACAAGTATTAACTGCCTACCATATAGAGGCAAGGGCAGGTAGGTGGTGCGGTGGATCAAATGCTGGACTTGGAGTCAGGAAGACTTGAGTTCAAATCTGACCCTCGACACTTACTAGCTGTATAACCCTGGGCAATTCACTTAACCCTGTTTGCCTCAGTTTCTTCCTCTATAAAATGAGTGGAGAGTGAAATGGCAAATCACTCTAGTATCTCTGCCAAGAAAACCTCAAATGGGGTCATGAAGAATCAGATAAGACTGAAGGAAATGACAACAACAATATGCAGGCAAGATGTGCTCAGAATACAAAGCCGAATGAAAACAGTCCTTGCCCTCAAGGAGCTTACCTTCTTTGTGGATAACTGGAATCACTGAAAAATTAGTTTATGTAGTCACATCTATCAAGAAATCTTATAGAACCTCAACATTTCTATAGAAGACACTTTGTTAACCCCTACCTTAGCTGCAGACTATGTGTAGGGTGCTATTTTCAATAGGAAGATGGAGAAGCTCCATTTGCCACCCTCAAGGAATATACAGTCTCTCAAGGTAAATGAGATATTACTTAAAGGATTGTATATTTGGGAGTTGATTCTATTAACAATAATTATGAACACTCACCAACACCCTAACCATTATAGAAGGTAACATGTGACAGGTGCCAGAAATCTCTGTATCTCCTCCAATATCCAGTCCACTAACATGCATATGGTGGGTACTTAATATTTGTTTGATGATGGAGATCAGAGAAAGAGAGCTAGTGGATATTCAAAGAAAGAGTCATCACTTCTTTTCCCCATTAGTAGAATTTAAGTTCCCCGAAGGCAGGATTTGTCTCAATTTTATATTTATGTTCCCAATGTAAGCATGGTGTATGGAAAGTAACCAACCTTATTGATTTCAGCAGAGGAATCAAGAAAGCTTTCCTAGATGAGGTCCTGGCTGATCATTGGTCTAGAACTAAATCTTTCTCTCTCCTCCCACCCCCCATTTGACAAAGGAGGAAACTGAGGTCCAAAGAATTGAAATGATCTCTCCAAGGTCACAAAAGCAGTTTCACAGACTTAGAGCTGGAAAGGACCTTCAAATCCACTTAGTGCAGTACCACCCTCATTTTCCTTGCCGTTCCTCATTTTTACAGATGAGAAGCCTGAAAGCCAGGGAGTTTGAATGGTTTGTGCAAGGAATACAGATTTAGAGCTAGAAGGGACTCAGAGGTCATCTAGCAAAACTCCCCCGTTTTTCAGATGAAGAAGCTGAGGTTCACTGAGGATAAGTAGCTTGTTTGAGATCACAAAGGTAGTTAGGTGGCAAAAAACTAGGTCCTTTCTCTAGGACAAGTAGGTTTTCTGCAACACCGGGTGGCATTTCAGTTGCTTGAAGGAGAGAAATCTTTTTGGTTATCAAAATGCTACCTGATAAGAATGACCTTAGAGGCTGAGTACAGTTTTTTTTTTTTTAATATTTCCATCCTTTATTGCATTCTCTCTTCTAAGAAATGAGGCTTCTGTGTGTGTGTGTGAGAGAGAGAGAGAGAGACAGAGAGACAGAGAGAGACAGAGAGAGAAAGAAAATGTATGTGTTCAATTGGGTCATTGACTTGATGGAGCGTTTTGTGTTGAAACATTCCAAATATATGGAGGAGGGAAAACAATAGATTTGATTAGGGAAGATGGCTTCGTGATTGCCTTTTCTGAACAGCATATTAATTTTTATCACTCTAGTAAATCCTTCTGTCCTTAACTCTGCTCCCAGTTCAATCTGGTTCTGTTCATTTCTGACTAAGTTTCCATCTGCTTTCAGTTAAAACTTGAACATAAAATGAGCCTTGCTGGGTCCTAATGGATGTTAGGGAAGGGAAGAGAGCGTGCATGCGTGCCTGTGTGTGCGTGTGTGTGTGTGTGTTAACACTTCCTCTGTCTCTTCCAACTGCAGATGGGAAGCCAGTGTCACTGTCTCCACTTGAATCCCAGCCCCACAGTCCACGGTACACTGCCTCAAGTCAGCGAGAGCGAGAGAGCCTGGAGGTGCGCATGCGAGAGGTGGAAGAGGAGAACCGGGTCCTGCGCAAGCAGCTCAGCCTGGCACAAAGCCGGAACCAATCCCACCGCCGCAGCAACCACTCCAGAACCTATTCAATGGAAGAAGGGACGGGTGACAGCGAGAACCTCAGGGCTGGCATCGTGGCTGGCAACAGCTCCGAGTGTGGGCAGCAACCAGCAGTGGAAAAGTGTGAGGTAAAGAGAGTCCAGAGATAGGGAATATCGAAAGTGAAAGAAACCTGAGAGTATCTCAGTTCAACTCTGTCTGTCTGTCTGTCTATCTATCTATCTATCCATCTGGCTATCAATGTATCTATCTTTCTATTCATTAATTTTATATTCCTTATTTACCTATTCTTTTATTTACCTATTTGTTTATTTATCTTTCTATTCATCCATTGTTATTCCATATTTATGTATTCTTTTATTCACCTATTTCTTATCCATCTCTCTATCTATCAGTCTATCTATCTGTCTATCAGTGTATCTATCAATGTATCTTTCTATTCATTAATTTTATATTCCTTATTTACCTATTCTTTTATTTACCTATTTGCTCATTTATCTTTCTATTCATTCATTTTATATTTCTTATCTTTTATTTACCATTTTACTTATTTATCTTTGTAGTCATACATTTTATATTTCTTACTTATATATTCTTTTATTCACCTATTTCTTATTTATTTGTTTATCTTTCCACCCATTCACCCATCCACCTACCTATCTATCTACCTATCTACCTACCTATCTACCTATCTATCTATCTATCTATCTATCTATCTATCTATCTATCTGTCTGTCTATCTATTTGTCTGTCTGGTTATTTTATTTTATTCCTCCTTTGGGCACTGTGCTCGTGAGGAGACCAAAGTCCAGAGAAATGACTTGCCCAAAGTCGCATGGTGGTTCAATCAGAGTAAGGATTAGAACCCAGGTCTCCTGGTACTCATGCCAATTATGTTGGGGGGCTGCTATCAGAAGGCTGCTTTTCCCCTGGGCTAGGCTTTGAAACTCCCCATGGATCAGGCCTTTAGAGCTGATGGATACTTGAGAGCTCATCTAACCCAACCCTACCCCACCTCATCTTATGAATGAAGACAACGTGTCATGGTGGATAGAGAGCTGGGCTCTAAGCTAGAAATACTCATGCTCAAGTCCTCTCTTGGATACATCATGGCCACTAGTCAACGATGTGGTATACAAGTCTCCTTTCTGGCCGTGACTTAGACTTTTTGGTCTCAGAATTCTCCTCCAAATCCAAGGTGATGTGTGTTTGTCATTCTGGGCTTTTGTGGTTAGAGATAAGATAGTTGTACAATACCTTCTCAGTGGCACCATTCCTTGACCTGGAAACAAAGTCATCTCAGACAAGTTATCCACATTGTCCAAGTTGCCCAGGGCAAGGTCTCTCATACTACAATAGGGCCCACTGATAGTTTCTGACTAACATCCAATTTGATTAATAAATGTTTAATGACCACTTCTTACAAGGGGAGTGCATAGTACTAACCACCTAAGCATTGATGTCCCATGAGATTCTGTCCTAGGGTGGCTGCTGCTGCCACCTCCTCCTCCTCCTTCTCTCTCTACACAGTATGTGTATTTATGTATGTACATGCATACATATATATACACATTATTATTATTATTATTATTGCTCTTCAAGATCTGCTTCCAGACTCTTTTTTCTCTGGACTTTTTTCCACATTACTTCTCTTCAGGCACTCCATGTTGAAGTCCAATTGTCTCACATATTATTCCCCAAACTCAGTCTTCCATCTACAGCGTTTTTGCCTTTGCCATGATCTGTCTCCCCACCCCCCACCCTCACCATGCCTACAATGCCCTCCCTTCTCCCTTTTGTCTCTTAAAATTGTTCACCTACTTCAAGGCTCATCTCAGATGTTTCTACCTACATGAGACCCTTCCATATCCTCTTCGTTGCTAGTCCTTTCACTACACTCTAATTTTCTTCCATTTTCAAATCTATTTATTTATTATATAGACCCTAAGGGAATGTAAGCACTTTGAAGGCAGGACATGTTCTGTATTTTTTTTTTCATCTTTCTTTTCCCCTGTGCAGAGCTCAGAGCCCTGCAGCCAATGTTTGCAGCTGAATTTTGAATAGAAGGAATAGGAAGGATTTGAATTTGAATAGAAGAAAAAGGTTGCTGATGTCAAGAGGCTTTGTTGCTTGGGGAGATAAGGTTATGTCTCAGATTGAGTATAAGTTTAAAAAATGTCCATTTTTTTTTAAAAAGTTCAAGAGGGAGGGAAGAAGGGAGGTGGGGTAGAGAGACAGAGAAGGAGAAACAGAAAGAGACAGGAGAGGAGAGATAGAGACTCAGAGAGAGACACCGAGATACAGAAACAGAGACAGACTATAAGATTGTATGTGGTTAAATGACAGATAAAGTGAATTAGATTGGATTCACCAGAGGTGAACGGAAGGTAGAACTGGAGCTGAACCTTGAAAGCTAGGTATTGCTAATATCAGATCACATTCCTGTGGTGCCTTCAGATTTAGAAAGTGCCCTTCTCAGAAGAACCCTGTTGTTCACTAGAGAAAAATTACATTGGCCCTACTTTACAGATAAGAAAACTGAGGCTCAGAGAGATGATGTTATTTGCCCAAAGTGGCACAGCTAGTAAAGCTGAGAGTCAGAATTTGAACTCAGGGCCCCTGACTTTAGGGCCAGTACTCTTCTTACTATGGTAGGATCTGGATAGTTGGAGAAAGGAAGAGGATATTTTTTGAGTTTGTTGAGGAAACAATATGAACAAAAATTTTGGAAATGGGATTCTGTGTTGTGGGACCAGTATAGAAGCCAGCCTGGCAGGAGTAGAGATTTCAGGTGGAAAAGCAATCGTTGATAAAGTTGGAAAGGTAGGTTGGAGTCAGATTGGGGAGGGCCTGGAATGCCAAGGGCAGGAGTAGTATGGTGTGCTCAGGAATGGCTTTCCAAGGCTGGGCAAAACTTTCATCATTCCTCTGCCTTCTTCTGCCAAGAGCAAGCAGCCTCAGCCCTTTTTCTGTCACTTGAAAGTGGGTGTCAGGGAAAAGCTGCAAATGAGTGGAATTCTCCCCGTGGGGATTCTTCCTCCCCACCCCAAGAGTTTCTGAGTCATAATGGCTCCCACCCACCCAAAGCACTACTTAAGATGTGTGTATCAGGGGGTGTAATTAAAAGAAAACAAAAAAGTTTATTTCAAGAAAGGAGTAGAAATCAGCTGACACAACATAACAGATCAGGAAACTGCAAAGCAGATATAAGAGCTTGGAAAGTACAGCTGGCCAGAGACATTGTGCAAAGAGACAAACAGAACTCCCCAAGTCACCCCTCTGTGCCTCAATTTCCTTATCTGTAGAACAAGGAGAATAGTATACATCATGCCCATCTCACAGGGTTGTAGTGAGACTGTGAAATGATATATCTGTCAAGCACTTTGTAAATGTTAAGGCGCTACGTAAATGTCAGCTTGTTATAGTGGGCGTTTCAGTCAATGATTCTGTCATCAAAATATTAAATAATAGTAATAGGCTCCTACAGCCCTCAAACTTAGCCTAATAACCATAGAGCTGGAAGGAACTTAAAGTGCATGTCTTTCTACCCCTTTATCTTTCAGGAGAGGAAACTGAGGCCCAGGGAAGTTACTGACTTGCCAAAAGTCTCACAAGAAGTCTCAGGATTTGAATACATCTCCTCTGACTTCAGAGTGCCTCCTACTGCACAAGACTGCCTGAACATACCTTGTTTAGGAAGGTGGGGGATGTCAGTCTTATATTTGAAAAGGGGTTCCTAGAGTTTCAGAAAAAGACTGAGGGGATTATTTGGTCTAAGTTTCTCATTTCACAGTTGAGGAAACTGAGGTTCAGGAAGGTTTCCATTAACTATCAGTTCTCTCTGCTCTCTCCCTCTTCACTTCCCTGTCTCTATCCCTCTCCAAAACGATGAATAAAGGGGTAAGATTCAGTTATTTGGAAAACTTACCAATGTTACTTTCTTGACTGTTTCAGAAATGGTGTCCAAATCGTTAGCTGAGATTTTTTTTGGTGGATACCATGACAGACCACATTTCCATTGAGCTCTCAGTTTTATAATGTGCTTTTGTCACAATCCTTTCCCATCCCCAAACTGCTAAGTCCCCATTTACAGATGGACAAACTGAGGCTCATCAGGGTGAAGGGACTTGCCTGGAGTCATGTAACTTTTGTCAAACCTGGGAATCAAAAACATCTCCCAACGGCTCCCAGATCTCAATATGCTCTCCATCCATGCCCATTGCCCACCAATGGGCTACCTGAGCCCTTCTTTCTGGGAGGACCATTACCCACCAGATGCCTTATGTGCCTCCCTTCTCTCCATTCATAAAGCCTCACCCTATTTTAAGCTGTCAGCATGCCTCAACTGCTCTACTGCAAGATCAATATTCAATCAACAAACATTTAATAAGCAAATGGCCCTTACTTGATGGGCCTGGGTTGGATGGTCCAAGGGGGGTCATCCAAAACTCTGTCTTAAGGGTAGTCAGTTTTCCAGTTAGCCTAATCCCTAGCTTCTTTTAAAAGCTGTTCAGTTGATTTAAATTGCCTCCAGATTATAATATCTTTTACCGATAAATTTGTTTGCTCAGTAGGATTTGGCCTCGTGCTGGAGGCAATGCTAATATAAAACAGGCAGACTCTCACTGAGTCCCCCATGCCTCTAACTAACCACACACTATTTTGATAACAGAATAGCTTTTGAATTTTTTCCTCCTTCTTCAAGGAATTCACGTGTTGGTTTTTTTTTCAGTAATAGAGTAGGCTTTGCCTCCTGCTTGTGTTATTCCCCCCACTGCTGTCATCGGTTGTCATTTTTCCTTTATATTTAGATGATTTGCAGCTGCGGTTAGTGAGCTGATTGGGACAATGAGGCATGATGGAGAGCCTGATGGCTTGCACTGAGGGAGATCTGGGTTCAAGTCCTGCCTCTGATCCTTAGCTAGTTGTGTCACCCTGGGCAAGTTACTTAACCTCACTATTCTTCTAAGGCAGGGATGGGGAACCTGCACCTTGAGGCTCAAGGTCACAGGTTCCCCACTCCTCCTCTAAGATGACTCCCAGAATTTGAGAGTTGGGAGGGACCTCAGCAACCATCTTGCCCAACTCACACTTGAAAGGAATCTCTAGTATAACCTGTCTGATAAGT